TAACTTTTATTTGAAAATTATCTGCTTTGAACGAACACATATTATGATATTAACACGAGTAAACAAAAACATGACACAGACCTTGTTTACATAACAAATGTTTGGAGCTCTAAATCTGTCTTGTATCTGGACAACTAACGTTCAAATTTTTGATGATAATTAGAAAGATTCTTTTTAAAATTTGTAAAAATGGAAAAATAAATTTTGAAATTTTACCGGAAACTGTGTCCATGCCCCTTTAAATTTATATTTCAATTTTTGAAACGATACGAATAAGTGAATCAGCTACTCTTCGTGACATACTAATTCATGTCAATAGCTGCACAATAGTCTTCGTGACACACTAATTCATGTATATAGCTGTTTTCTTATGCCATGACATTGCAGTCATGAATGACAGTGAAAAAGAAAACCGTTTATACGTCTAATCCGGAGGACCGGTCACCAGCTCCCACAATTGGATTCGAACTCCTTACTTCGCGACTCTAGAGCAGACGCTATAACCACTGTACAACGTTGGCCCGAATAGCAAGAAATTACATAAAAACAAAAAATAGTTTGATTTAGCAAGCTCATAGTATTGCATAAGAGACGTCACAAGCTCGAAAAATGCCATAATTATAAAATAATTTTTTTTAAAAATGCCATAATTCAATTAAAAACCTATTGCGCGGAACGAAATGCAAACTTTATCTTTAACTCATGAAGATACACTCACAAAACCAAAAATCAGCCTAATATAGCTTTTAGAAAAAAGTAAGGAAAACCAATTGAAGTTGGACAGACTGACAGACAGACAGATAGGCAGACGGGACTGATAGACTCGCAAGAAATCTATAGTCCTGTTCCGGTTTCAACAGTAGAGACAAATGAGCTAAAAATGTATTTCCATACTGATATTAATGTAAACCTTATACGTTTCAGTATGGTATTAGCGGTCCCTTTTGGTATGCGGCTGGAGCTTCTATACAAATGTTGCTGTTTTCAATGGTGTCCGTTCAATTGAAGATCCGTGCCCCTGGTGCCAAAACTTTTCTCCAGGTGATTAAGGCCAGGTTTGGGTCAAGGACTCATAAAATTTACTGTGCCTTCGCCCTGATGACGAACATTATTGTGACAGCTATGTTAATGCTGGGTATGTTTCATAGAATTTTGTAGTTTAATGTCATTCATACTGAGGTAGTTTATCCGACTTTATACTGTTTATTGTTATGAATGATAATTTAACTTGTCCATGTGCACATGTATAATCGATTTTGATGCGTCTATAAAGACAGTATTCTAGTAGTTAATAATAGAGATATAAGACTTTGCAAAAACAGCTGTGGCAGAGAAACACGTACATCATAATATGAAGTATGTGAAAGATACATTGTATGTTGGATATTTCTTTGTTCATACTGGAAACCCCGAGTTATGAAACTTTATAAAGAACCATGCAATGTTATTGTACACTAAGAAAACTCTCAGGTTATGATTGATATTACTACTACATTGTATACAGTAAATATAAGATTTTTTTTAGGATTCCTGTGATTTATTCTTTCCTTAAAAACATTTCATTTATCAAAATATAAACGCAGGGAAAGTTTTCTGCCAAAGAGGGACCAATTATATGAAAATCATCAAAATATTTTGTTCGCAAATTCTAGTATTTTCAACCAATTAAATCTTATGACCCATTTAAGGTAATACAAAATAGTTCGGCCAATTTTTACCTCCAATTTATTTTTTGTTGTTGACATTTTGTTCTAGGATACAAAATTTCTCTTTATTTATAATATAAAAAAATTCAACTGCACATTCTTTGTGCCTATACAAATATTTCAAGTATGCCTTATCAGACAGAATTTTGAACTCAGACATTACATTGTATCACAGAATGTGTATCCCCCCCCCCCCTAAAGTTACATATCAATTTATTAGAAATCTGTGATGTTTGTAAAAAAAAAAAAAACAACCTGTTTGCTAATAAAATTCAGTAAATTATATTGATACCAGTATATTTAAGTAAAATGTGATGAAAAAAAATAGCATACATAGCCCAGGATTCGAAAATTCACATGTAAATATGCTAGATGTTCAATTTTCTCATAAGAAAAATCTGTATTCAAATTTTATAGGAAATCAACAGAATGATTGAAATAGAACCCAGATTAAAATATGATAGTTACGATATTTTGGCGATTTAAAAATAATATTAAGAGCGAAATAATAAAAGATTCAGTAGAAGACATCAAAATATTTCACTTTTGACCTCTACACATATATCCTTGATTCATTATGTATAAAGAGGGGGGACGTTTTATAAATATCTCCAAATATCAGATCTCAATTGTAAATGGATCAAAAGATACTTTAAATTATTTTATGAACTGTCGTGCATGTATAACATGGAAATTACATGGAACATTATACATTTATTTACTAAGTTCGAGGGCAACATGCGTTTTGTCGGATCCAAGAACCAAACTGTCTGCCTGAGGCCGTTAGGCCGAAGGTAGACAGTTTGGTTCGAGTGTCGACAAAACGCATTTTGCCCGAGAACATAGTCAATAAATGTTTTGTTATAACTTTCATTCTAATTTTTTTTACATACATGTATTTTGTACTGTGATATAACTTCAGGTCCGTCACTTGTAAACATCACTGAATGAAAATCAGTTTTAGCTCCGCCCATTCTGTGACGCAAGCGGTCCAACATCTCACTCAGCGGTCCAACATCGATTTTTTATGACCGCTTGGCAAAACAATAGAAATGTTAGACTTGTTTTTATATAGATCTGTATAGGAACAATTTTTAAAGGTATAACAGAGAACATTTATTGAGTCTCAAATGACCAATACATGTATATGAGATTCTCTAATTTTTGGTTAAATATTGAAAGAAAAAACGTGTCACGGGTTATTAATATCCTTAGTAAGATCATTGTTTATTGACATTACAGTCATGTTTCTCATTGATCTATCTTCTTAACTTAATAAAAATCAGTTGAAACAAATATCATGGGTGTTTTGTACTTCCTTAAGTTATTCGAACATAAAGTTGAGGACCAAATTCAGGGTGAAGATGAAATTTTAAAATTTAATTGTACACAATTATTTTATTTTTCAAGAAATACTCATATAAAACTCAAGCTCCATTCAAAGTTCATGACCAAGGTTAATTGTTTTTACTTCAGCTAAATCCATGGTCAAAAATATTTGTTCCCATTAAAAAATACATGTGTAAGTTGTTTGAATCATTTAAAAAAGTTTTTGAAATTCGGGAAAATAGAAAATATAACATTTGACACAATGTTATTAGTATGAAAACGGCAAAAGGTATTCTGCCTTCAAAGGTCATAAAATAAATTTAAAGATTGGACAATATAATTTTGTTCTCACATTCAATTAAGAAATAAAACTAAATCCTTCACAGCAAGAATATAGATTGTGAATACAACTTTGATTTAATTTCTCTGTTTCTGACACAAGAATCGATAATAAATTACTTGGTAAGTTAAGCATAATACAATCATGCTTTCATCGTTACAAAACCAACTTTCTTTAATGAAAAATATATCCTAAAGTCGATAATTTGTCAATATTTTTGCATTAAATTGTTTTATTTCAAATGTGTTAATTTGTTTGAACTGTCTCATCTTCTGATCAAAGAATTGAAACCGAATTCTTAATTGTAACATTCTCTCTATCTCTCTCTCGTGGGTCCCAAATCCAAAGATTGAATCTTAAATATCGAATTTGTATATATTTTTCCTCTCTCTTTTAATCTATGCCTTAGAAGTGGCATATATAAAACAAACATTTTACAAAACAATACCACCACGAATATGGGAATAAACACTTATATAATAGTTGACAGGAATCTCTAGAAAAACTCTAAGTGTACTGTTCAAAAGGTCACAATAGTAAAACTTTTATTATGTGTGTTGCTTTCCAAAGCGAGGGGACGTTAAATTCATTGTGTCCGTGTGACAAAAACATTAACCTTAGATTTTTGAGTGATAAGAGACAGGGCTTATATTCACATGTACATTACCTGTGAGTTGCTTAAAATTATCATAATTATGATTTTGACCTTGACAATGACCTTGAAGTTTGATATACAAGTACTTTTCAAAAATTTTAACATTATGTGGATGCAATGTAACTTTTAATTATGAAAAAAGTTATATCCTTCTCTTTCTTATTAGTAACTCTTTATTGTAATTGTTTATTTTGATCATTTTTATAAATTGGTTGTTTAATACATGATCTTCAGTTGGAAACTGGAGCTTTCATTGTCCACGCCGACACACATATCTTGTGAGCTTTTGCAATATTTTATACCACAACTCCCTATGGCCTTAATAAAATATTATACGAGGTCAAAAGGTCAAGTGTAAATTTTAATTATGTGTGTATAATATAACAAGACGCTTTGTAGTTTTTAAAATTAAATTTTATAAATAACTCCCTATGGCCCCTCTCGTCCTTCTTAATGCTTCCCCCCACCCCCTCATCATTCTGAAACTCGTTCAGTTAAATATAATTCAAGTGATAACCCTACTGACTTGGGTGCAGATATTATCAAACACACAATCAGCAAGAATAAACAAATTGTTACATCTCGCACTTGAAAAGGTTACAAAATGCCCTTTCTATAAGCATGAATTTTTTATGCTCCAAATTCTATATTTTTCCTCTCAAAGGGTGGACTGTTGCAATATTAAAACATCTATTTGTTTTTCATCATTTTGCAGGGGGCGCTGCGGTAATGAAGAGCCTTGTTCAGGACATTAGCGTGGAATACGCCACTCTTCTTGTGACTGCTGTTATCGGGGCGTATTCTTTCATAGGTGGACTCGGTGGAACTTTTTATGTATCGTACTTCAACACTGGAATTATCTACATCCTCATAATGGTCTTTGTCATGAATGTGTTCAATAACGAAAAGAGTACAGGCTCATTGGGTATTGATTAATACTACATAACCCTAAAGTCGTCGCTTGTTATCACTTTAAAGACATGAATAAATGTATTTAGAGCTATAAAATGATTAAAGTGGATTAAGATTAGAACAAAAACAGAGCAGACTAAAATAGAAAATGTTTTAACAAAGTCGGTGAATTATACTATGATGTTGAGATAATTTTTCAATTCATTGCTTTTGTACTTTAAAGGTAAAGTTGAAAAGGTGTACGCCCTAGTCTCGTGTAGCAAAGGACCAGATGATAATTATCAGAACAGCTTTCTCACCATTCAGTCTAAACAAGGCCTTATGTTTGGAATTATTAACATTGTGGGTATGGGATATATTAAATTATACATCTTCGAAATTTAACAAAGGAATACATGTATGATCCCATCATTTTTTGATAAAGTTATATTACATGAAACATTTCTAATTTTATACCCGTGTTCGTTTTAGGAAATTTTGGGACAATTTTCGTAGACCAGTCCTACTGGCAGAGTAGTGTTGCTGCCAAACCAAAACAAGGTGTAATCGGAATTTTAGCGGGTGGTCTTTGTTGGTTTGCCATTCCCTTTGGTCTTGCCACAACAACATCATTAGCATACATAGCCTTAAGCGCCAGCCAAAATCAAGCTCTTCTGAATGACGCAGACGTTGATGCAGGTATTCGAGTTTCCCCTTGTTTACAGTTTAGCTCGACAATTAAAAAAATCATCATTACATTGTAACCAAATACGGTTCAGGTATTAATAAACAAGAGGCCTATGGGCCACATAATGCCTGAGTAACTTTGACCATTCTGTTATAACAGATTTCCTCCTTTGTAATACCTATCTTGACATTGCCCAATCCCAAAGGGTCATGATTCGAACAAATCAGATTCTTCTCTACCCAAGGATGCTTCCATAACTTTCAGCTTTTCTTGCCCAGTGGTTCTTGAGAAGAATTTTAAGATTGTTTACTATATATTTTTCTGCAAGACCCGGATTCCCTATTGTGGCCCCGTTCCTACCCCGGTGGTCATGATTTGAACAATTTTGAATCTACACTACCAAAGGAAGCTTTCATAAGTTTCAGCTTTTCTGGCCCAGTGGTTCTTGAGAAGAAAAGTTTAAGAGTTTTTTTCTTTATACTTCATTGTTAAAATTGGATTCCCTATTGTGGCCCCGCCCTACCCCCAGGGGTCTTGATTTGATCAATTTACAATCTACACTACCCCAGGATACTTCCACATAAGTTTCAGCTTTTCTGACCAAGTGGTTCTTGAAAAGACGATTTTAAATGACACCACCTTATTTTTGAATTTACTTGATTATCTCCCCTTCGAAGGGGATATTTTAGCAATTTAAATTTCCCATTACCCAAGGATGCTTTATACCAAGTTTGTTTATACTGGTCCAGTTATTCTTGAGAAGAAGTTGAAAATGTGAAACGTTTACAGACGGACAGACGACGGGTGATCGGAAAAGCTCACTTCAGCTTTTAGCTCAGGTGAGCTAAAAAGTAAGGTAAATGCATATATGGCTACAACGCTCATTTTCCTGGTATTCTACCGAGGAAATATAAAGGAAGGTCAAAACACCACATACACACACATATTTTGTTGGATAAAAATCATATCCAACTACAAATCATGGTAGATCCTCTATTTCCATTTAGATTTTCTCAAAAGAGACACTGTTTGTCAATATAATTGATTATCATACGTCTGCGCACAGAATGGCAGTGAGGGGTTCGTGTGGTCTCGGTTGCTCTTCTTGAATTTCGATGAGGGGTCAGAGAACTTGTGGTCTGGGTAATTCTTCTTGTACAGTTTGGGCTCCGGAAAGTTGTGGTCGTATCTAGTTTGCATCTTTTTGAAAAGGCACATTACTGTCGTCTGTAACCTGAATATTGGATTTGCTCAGCTTCTTTAAGCGTCGGAGGCACTCGTAATCTGGCAACAACCCGATCCCCCCAGATCGCTGTATCTTTCACTTCCGGGTGAAAATGTTCGACATAAGTCTGAAAAGCCGTCCGTCTGACGTCCAATTTCTTTTTTTCCTTTGATCCTCCACCAGACCAGTCGAATTTCACCTTGGTGTCCGTCACGAACAATTCCTCGAACAATTTCTTCATTAGAAGACACGCAAAATGACCAGGGTTGTTTGCTTCTTGGTGAAGACTGGCCAGGATAATATCTGCGATCCGAAGATCTTCCAGAATCCGACTTTGGAAGTTTTCTCTATCTTCATCGTCAGTCTCTGGAGCCACTGGTTCTTCGGGTCTGGAGCCACTGGTTCTTCGGGTCTGGCTTCGCTTAGTTCCTTTGCGATTGTCTCTAGCCGCAGAATCCGTCGATTGGCAGCGTCAAGTTTGGTGTGAGCAAAGCGCAAATCCTGGCTGATTGTGTTCACCGTATTTTGCAGGCTTTTTAGCTGGTTTGTGATGGTTCTCAGGTATACAGTGTTATCTGTTGTGTCTTACGGCGTGCTTGGGTGGCCTGCCAACATGGGTGGCGTTAGTGCTGCTGAGGTGTTCGTGCCTGGGGTGATGATTGGGGATGTTATTGATGGGGTTGATGGTGTAGTTGCAGTGTTTGTAGCCCCTGGAGCATTAGCTGAGGTGACGTTGGTGTTAGTTTTGCTGTTGGTATTGGTGACAGGCGTTGTGTCTTCAGATCTTGGTCTTCTGATCGGCGTTGACGTTATGAGTATAGTGCCTGTGTCTCTGTCCTCCCGGTTACGAAAATTACCTTAGCTGCCACCTATTTGAAGATGAAGAAAAATAAAATAATACATGATAACAAGAAACATATATTTGTCGAAAGTTGTTTATAAATCTATACTTATTGCTTATACATCTATACTAGATTAACAAATTTTTCAAATAAACTCCGAAACGGCATATTTTCTTATGGCCCCTTTTCCATTACAATTTCTAGAGCTTCTACTTGTGGGGACTACATGGAATTAGCTTGTAATATATATTTGATGTTTATTTCGGTCCAAATGTCTTTTCTGGCGATATTTTAAGATATTTTTTTTAATGCAAACTGCAAAAAGAACCAACAGCAACTGTTAAGAATTTCTCATTTCAACGGATAATTAACAAAAATTCCGAGTTCAGAGAATGACAATATACAGGAAGAAAATGAATGGATACTGCCATCAAATAAATGCGTCGTTCAATGTTAGGGGGCACTTCATTTTCGTTTATTCGTAATAAAATATTGAGCGTCTTCCGTTTTTGTCGAAGATACGGCGAATGTTCTACCAATTATCAGATATC